TGTGGCAGAGTTTTCAGGTGAAGCATTTAGCTTTCAGTAGATGGCAACTGTCTGAATCCTTGCTTCATTTCTTTTATTTTTCAAGGACAAAATAATAAAAATGTGAAATTAATAGGATTCTGAATTAGCATTAATGAATGAAATTAGATAGAAAAGTTAGGGGGATTGAGATTATAATTAATGATAATGTTAGATAATTTTCCCTTGGATTCTGCCTAAAAACATAGAGATTATAGTGAGCCAAGTAAAACAAGATTTTATCAAAAAAACGAAAACAAGAAGAGGGAAAACGTTACACCAATGATAGATGATCCACCCTTTATTTTTTTGGCATTTAGCCAAAAACCATCACCAAGTTGACAACCTCAAGTCATTAATAGTCCTGCTTTGCAAATTGCAACCAAATTGAGACACATACCAGATTGTTTTTAGTTTTCTTTTATAAGTTCACACCTATATTGTTGATAAATCATTGAATTTCAAAGATTCAGATATTTTAATCCTTGTACAAGAACAAGGGTACTTGGTATAGTATACTAAAATCATGGACTTGGTTAGGTCAAGGATATTCTTGCTTGTCTTAAACATTCATTTGCCTTCTTATTATCTATTCAGACATAGACATGACTTGTATTTCTTCTATATTTCACACTGATATAATTCCACCTAAAGGCCTAAACTATTTCAGTTTTAGTCTCAAACATTGTGATTTACAGAGAGGCCTATTGTATTGCCACATGAAACTCAAAACACCAGACCTCACATCGGCATAGTATAACACAAGGTCATAGAATTTCTAACCCTCCGCTTTGAAGGAACCAAGAACTATTGATTTAAGCGACCCGTGACTTTGACTTGAGTTCTGAGTTGGTATGTGTCTTTGAGGTTGGAGCATTAGAGCCGAATTGACGGACAAGGATTTTGAAGCACGGTAGAAACATAATGTATAGTGCAACGATAACAAATGGAGCCGCTACGAGCCACCCTAGTAGCTGCAAAAGCAAGTTCATGTTTAAGCAGGTTATATGACAAAAAGCCAACTTTCCACAAATAAATGCCGACGAGAAAAACCATTTTTATTTTCGGATTTGAGATCAATAGCAAATGACAACATACTAGAGAAAATCCCACTTGTAATTTAATAAAGATAATGATCGCAAAAGATTAAGGCATGAAATGCTATCAGAGGCTTTGCATCGAATTAAAATTTATTAAATCTGCACAACTAAGCTAACACAGAAGAGCCTTACCGCATTCCCAATGCTTATAAAAATATCTCGGGAAGCTTGGCCTGTCAAAACCTTCTTCAGAGCATCGGATGTTAAAGGAAAATGAGGTCCACCAGTTATTTTTTCGCCAAGCCGTAAGAAAGGCACCACAAGACTTCAATGTGAAAGACATGTAACAAAAACCAAACTTTGAGAAAAGACTATACATAAGGACTCAATCTGTTGCCAGAAAATTAAAAAAATTATAAAACACTGTTTGGCTGTCTCTTTGATACTGATGAAAGCG